AAAAAAAAAAAAAAAGCACTCATGACCATCACCCTACCAGTATCGAGGGCAACTTGGACCAGACAGTAGTGACAAGCACCAAGGCTGGGCCAACCTCCTAGCCCTGATGGAAGCAGAAGCGGACGAACCTTGCCGTACATGAACTTCGGACGCTAGGCTCATGCAATCTTCTACAGGCCCAATTAAGAGAGTCTACCCAGCATGATTACCTAAGCAAGGTTGGCCAGCGCCCGCGGACACATCCTAACGTCCTTCCCCTAACTTACCCAAGGCTAGGCGGAGCTCAGACTAGCTGGAGCGACTTATATCCCTACCCCTACCCTAGAGCTAAGCCATGTGTGAGCAGACCCCGTCATATACCTGATAGACCCCCCCAGCCCAGTATCGTAATTTGTGTGTATGTGTGTATGCTAGAGGCTATGAGCCCAAGGGTCATGTGTCTTTGTATCTGCCCGAAGGCTATGTGTGCTCTGCATACTTGTATAGCGATATGTATGTGCCCAAAGGCCAGATATGTGCAGTGCTATGGAGAGGGAGCTTTGTGTTCGTTTGAAGAGATGACAGGCCAAGCTGGACAAGAACCCCCCCCAAAGTCCCCAGCCAGACTCGAACCCGTGATCTATGACATGTGACCTGAAGATTCTACCATTTGAGCAACAATCGCAAAACGGCCCCTGTGTGTGATATACCAGACTGGGGAGATCAACAGAACAACCACGAGCAACGGACACAAGCAACCCATGCAGTATCAAGACCCGAGATACAACACCATGGACAACCCTTGGGTGGTGCACAGGCAGTGTGTGACGCGCAAACTCAAGCCCTGTGCTGTCTTTCGTTCGGAGTGTTACTTGTGCGGAAAGAGGCCCAGAAAAACAGCGAGATGGGGTGTGCCAAGGATTTTTGGAAATTGAGTGTGGGGACACAGACGGAACTGAAATCCCCCGTGATGGTCCAATGAAGCAAGTCGATTGTTTTCGCGCGTCGCGGAATGCTCGCGCGGACAAGGCGCGAAGAGAGAAAAATCCAAATTCAATCTAAAAAGTATTGTCGGGCCTCCCACCATGCTACGGCCCGTCGTTTAGAGCGAAAGGGCTTTGGTACGCTCCGCGTGTCCCGTTTCCATATCAAATCTCGTCGTCGTTCGATGGTCAGTTCGGACTCTGACGTGGATGGTCTCAGTTGAGTGGCTCTTTCCTTATGCTCGTCCTCATTCCATATTCGGTAGTAAAAGCCCTTCGCTTCGTAGCGTTCGAAGCGCATGCACTCTGTGCACAGGGTTCGAGGCCAATGGGCGCCACTGCCGTCCACGGAATGACGATCAGCTCATTAAAGGGCAACAATATCGAGTAGGGCGGGAAGTGCGTATCGATAATGACAAATCCAGCTTCTACAAATCCTGAACAACAATCGGCCGGAGGGAAGTAATATTGCCCACCGATTTGTGTGATGGCTTCTCGTACGTCCCACTCACATACACGTGTCCTTTCCTCACTGTAGGGAAAAGGTCGCGTTGGGATGGGAGATACGGGAGGCTGGCGCCCAA